ACCCAGGGGGCCAAAAATCCCGGGGGGGGGGGGGGAAGTGGGGCAGGGAACAGTTTAGGACTGTGCCCTGAAGCAACTGGATGCTTGGGTCCTCCACAGAGATGCTGAGGTAGCCATCCAGAGTGTCTCCATGGTTGGCCCTTACCCCGGTGCTGAAGCACGCTGCCTGCCTGTGCAGGGCAGGCAACGTGCCAGCCACAGGGAACTGGACCCAGGCTCTGTGCTGGTAAGGGGGTGGGGTGGGTCTGGAGGAGTGGGGAAGGGACCATGAGGGGACATTCACCGGCCCCATCCCACGCCTGCTCCCTGAGCGCCCCGGATTGCTGCCCTGCCCAACCACATCCCCTGCCCTCTCCCCCAGCCTGCTGATCACTTTCCTGCCCAGCCCAACCCCAGACTCTGGTCAATAAAAAAAAAAAACAACAACAACAACCCCACACTCACTGGCAGTAGCAGCTGTCATCAGGGTCACTGGGGTCTCATGGCAGAGACCCCTTACATAGCACAGGGCAGAGGGGACTGGCCTTGGCTGCCTGGCACCTGCACTGCAACTGCCCCATCGTGTGGTGTCAGACACCTGAGGCCAGTGCGGCTGTCACCTGGGCCCGGCACTGCTCAGCCTGAGCAGCTACAGCTGCCTGACAGCACGCAGAGCTGCACGGTGCCCTGTTGACCCGGGCTGCACCTGCACAATGGGGCAGTGGTAGTTCAGATGCCAGGTGGCTGGGGCTGGTCCCCACTGTCCCCCACTGTCCTGTGCTGTGTGGTGAGCTCTGCCATGAGAACCCAGTGACCCCTGATGGCAGCTGCTGTAGCCGGTAAGTGCAGGTCTTTTTTATTGCTGGGATACGGGGGCCGGATGAGGCAACAATCATGGGACCTCGGGCAACAGGCAGGGGATGGGGCTAGCAGGGTTTGCCCCATGGTCCCCTCCACCCCCTAACTTACTGACCAGGAGGCCCCAGTGACCCCGAAGGCTGCTGCTACTACCAGTGAGTACGGGGCTTTTTTTTTCTTTTTTTAAGTTCCAGGAGGCTGGGCCCAGGTCGGGACTGGGGGCTCTGCCCTGCCACTGCTTACCTGTCAGCACAGGGGCACAGGATGCAGGCCTGGAGTGAGCTGCACCTGCATCCTGCCCACCCTGCCCCAAATGGACGAGTGGCAGCACGGCAGAGCCCCTGTTCCCAGTGTGGCTGCACCCATATTCCACCCCCCCTCCTCCCTTCCTGAGCACAGCCCAGCCCAGCCCCCTGCTGGGAAGAGTCCAG